TTTTGTGGAAAGTGTTTTATTCAGAAAAGTAAATGTATACAACATGAAAGAACCCACACTGGAGAAAAACCATTCAAATGCAAGTATTGTGAAAAGTGTTTTATTGTAAGAAGTAATTGTATAGTACACGAAAGAAGACACACAGGAGAAAGACCATTCAAATGCCAGTATTGTGAAAAGAGTTTCATTGGCAATAAACACTGTAAACAACATGAAAGGACCCACACTGGAGAAGAACCACTCAAATGCAAATATTGTGAAAAGAGTTTTAGTGAGAAAAGAGCGTGTTTACGACACGAATGGATCCACACAGAAGGCCAGCTTTGTAAAAAGAGTTTCAGTGATAAAAGTAATTGTTTACATAATGAAAAAAGGATTCATGCTAGTTTTTCAGATCAGTCTATCAAGACAGAATTTCAAGATGAGGATATTTCATCTGGGACTAGGCTTTCACTTCAGTATGTTAAAAAGGAATTTCAAGATGAGGATTTATCACCTGGGACTAGGCTTTCACTTCAGTCTATTAAAAAGGAATTTCAAGATGAGGATATATCACCTGGGACTAAGCTTTCACTTCAGTCTATTAAAAAGGAATTTCAAGATGAGGAATCAACTCTGGGGACAATGAAACAAAACCATTTTTATACCGAAGCTATAGTGAAAAAGGAGTCTAATGATAACATTGCCCCAAAAGTGAGATCTAAGATATATCCTGTTGCAATGTTTAGAAATGTTTTTACAGATGATGATGTATGATGTACACTTATACATATATTGTATGCTCTTTTATTTAATTCTGTGCAGTGTCTTTGAATATTGAATTCCTCCAAGCATTAACTTTCTCGCTGTCCGCTATTTGAAACTTAATTGTGGGATTTGATCAAATTCATTGTCAATGATTTAGCATGCCAACTAACTTCATACCCATCTTTAAAGTTACATATGAAAAGATTGTAGATTCCTGTAACAAATATAAGCCACCTCTATTAGTTTCTTATATGACTCAAAGGCCCCATTCAGAACAGGGGACTAACTAGTCCGAGGGTCAAATATGGCCGACCCACTTGAATGCTTCCCCATGGGAAATCTATTCAGTGTCTATTAGCGGCTTAGACGGCAAGCTTTGTAGTGGGTTGCCATATTTGACTCTTGGACTAGTTTGTCCCCTATTCTGAATGAAGCCAAAGTCAACATGCCAAAGGATAAACAAAATTAAGAATTTTGTCAGCAGAAAAAGCATAAAAACTGTACCATCTTCAAATTTCTTGTAAGAAAAATATAGTGAATTCAGTTTAAATTGTCTGTTTTACAACTTGTTAGTAACAGCATGTCATAGTCAGTAGTTAAATCAAGTTAGATTTTGGACTCAAGGGCCAATCAGAATGAGGAGAGCTGAGTGTCCGGAACCGCGCAAATTTAGATACAAACGTAATTTAGAATTAGGCTCGAAATACGGACACCGTTGGACACTTTTAGTTAGGATAACGCTTTAGTATAACCTTCCAGATTCTCGGTCGAAATCGTTACGTCTAAACGCTACAGAGGAAATCCACACTGACAAAAATGACCAGTTTCAATCGTTTAATGTGAACTCGTTGCCTGCTCAGGTACATTCTGACTCTCTATTCAATATTACAACCCTTAGTACGTACTCCAGCCAATGGTTTCATGCACTTCCTTATCACTGGCTTCTTAATGCGACAGGTAAACAAGCCATACTCAGCCTCTTCAAAATTGACACAATGTATTATAGAGAATACAATTCACATATATGTCTCAAGATAAATAGACGTTCGTTTTACTATCTCTTTTTTTTTTTTTTTTTTTTTTGTGTGTGTGTGTGTGTGTGTGTGTGTGTGTGTGTCTATAATATCTGCCACCCTGGTAGAGGGTACGAAAAACACCAAGAAGGGAATTTCCGCTCCAACGTCACTGGTCTGCTGACTGTAGTTGATCTGTGCGCCGCTAGAGGGACCCACGTGGCATAGAGGCTATTCAGAATGAGAACAGCCGAGTGCTAGCTAGGCCATGGCCTAAATATGGCGGACCTACATGAAAGGAAGACCGCTTAATCCTGTAATGGTCTCTCCGCCTCTCTCGAGCTTTAATTACTGTACCCCTGCATGTATAACCCTAGATTTAATAATCGGTTATGATTGAATAAAAATTTTTTAAAAATTCAGAATAAGGATGAATAATTAAAAAGCAATTGAAACAGGAATAGATTAAAGCAACAAATTGAATTAATGAAAACCGAGATGCCGATATCACATACTCCTTTAGAACAAGATCTGTTCTCAATGATAAACGGTTCTTGCCCTCGAAATGAGGACGTTCTTATTTTTCAGTTTGGGTGTTTTGCTCTGACTTAAAAAGGTGAAATAGAGGAACCTAGCTTGCATCGCCAGTGGAAATAGGGTTATGCGTACGGTATGAGAGAGCTGAAAAGTGTATAAGCTAGATAAAAATAGAGTGCTTGTTGTCTTTTATGCATGCGCCGAGTTGCATTTCATTCCTTCTTAGGGTAATCCCGGTTTTCCTGCTCAGCATATCATAGACGACAAAGTTTTTCCAATTTACTGCCACGGACAAAACCAACGAACGTGTGCTGGAGACCCAAGACAAGGTTTACAGCAGGCGATGGTACCAAAAGCATGGATCGGGCTACTGGAAATCGAATGTTAATATTCTGTTTATTCAAATGCATTCTCTTCTTTGTGGGATCTCAGTGTTTGAAAAAATACTTCTAAACATTCCGGTTCTGTCAAGGGTTACACCCAGTACGGAAGGAGTTTCGAAAGACGTTTATTTTACGCGCTTTTTATAGGTCATATTAGAGAATGGGGGTGTTTTCAAAATATGTCACAAAAGTTCGTAATGATAACTGTTTATGCCCCTATTTCACACAGACCACGAATCCCACGAATGGCCAGGAATTGGCAATTTTCACGATTCGTGGTTGAATCGTAATCAGCTCGTGAAGTTCTTAACAGATTCGTATATGTTCGTAGTCAGTTTTTGTACTTCATGACCAACAGGAATTGGTGGCAAAAACTTTGATGCCCCTATTTCACACAGACCACGAATCCCAAGAATCGCCAGGAATTGAAAATTACAGAATTCGTGGTTGAATGATAATCAGTTCGTGAAGTTCTTAACAGATTCGTATATAATCGTAGTCAGTTCTTGCAATTCTTGATCAATCGGGAATTCGTGGCAAAAAATTTAAGCTGATCAAAGTTTTGGCCACGAACTCCCGATTCCAAAAAACTGTATTGAACTTCTGGACAATATTCGTGCGATTCCAGCCGAATCCCACGACTATTCGTAACACTATCGCACCTGTATCGTAACTATATTAAAGCATTTTGTCTTTTTCGAACATTTATAATATGTCAACTAATTCTGCATATAAAAGCTATTTACATTTATCTGTGGGAAGTAGTTTTGAAATGTAGGTACAGTAACATCTTTAATTCTGCCCCAACCACAAATGCTCCCATCGCTTTTTAAGTCACTCTTAGAACGTCACGCGATTTGTAGTAGGTCTCTTCAGCAAGTGTGTGAATTTCAATTTGATTAAGTCGATGGTATACGTTGAATCTGGTCCACGTGATTCTTTTGTTGTGCCCGAAACCGCTATAAGATCCTAGTCACTGCAAAAGTATAGTTGGCGGTGCTGCTCTCTCGACAGAGGCTTCCTCAGAGGCCGTCTTGCATAGCCTAGTAGAAGTTTTTTTCATTATCTGAAGGTTTTATGATGATATATATATAGGCTATTAGTACGGTGCATACATGTTTTTCATTTTTTCTTTTCAATTCGATTAGAATACTAGTACTTGGCCGATTTTGATAGTTTATCAATTCACTTTCCATCTATTCAATTGTATTCTAATAATGAGTTGATTTGTCTTATTTTAATAAGATTTAATAACATTTAAAAATGTTTACATTATGGTAGACTGGTGTAGTATTTTATGGTCGTTTTACGCGGTTTTTGGATGGACTAATATAATTAACAGATCAAATATGACAGCTGACCGTGAGCAGAGATGATGCCTGTACAGTTTGTAGATAACATGTATCATTGGCGTTACTTTCATAAATGACTATTAAATTTATTTGTATATATGCCAGTTTCAATTGCATTATTATTACCATTTCTGAGGTGTTGAAGATGAAGCACGCACAAGCTAGTGCGCGCGCGAGCACACACGCACACACACACACACACACACACACTGCTAAGCTACCGATTGCAGCAGAGAAGATCATTTCTGTTCCCCTCCAGATGGCGCTAAAGAACGGTTTGGTTTGTCAATCTTGGCAAAACTGCTCAGATTGCCGCATGCAGTAGACCATATAAGGATAGCCAGTGACCTACATAATACCATTTTTACTTTGGGGTGTGTAAGGGTCTGAAGGTTAATTTAATTAATTTAATCTAGTGTATTGTGAAATATGCGGGAAACAAAAGTTTTCTGTGCATTGCTATTTCAGCACATTGTTAATCAAATTTTGTCTGTCAAATTTTGGTAATCGATAAGTATAAAGGGCGGTCACCTAGCTCTTCCTGC